AGAAAGGTCACAAATACGAGTATGGAAGAAGTATACTAAGGTAATCCGACTTAGGAGACATTGCGATGAAAGTAAAGTCTAAATAGGTTGACACATGATAGTATTCACGGCACTAACTGGAAATAAAAAGTCAAACGCAAGGCTTGATTTATATCTTTTTTCATGATGGCATGTAACCGTTAAGGCGCCAATTGCTTACATTATATGCAATATTGAATGCACGATTGAAAGCGGTGTTTACAACATCCATTGAAACAAAAAATGACTCCCCTGTTAACTCATCTGAATTTTACTATTGCGGATTTTTTAAACATAGCACAAATATCAGATACAACAGCGATGAGCTTATTCTGCCAAAGCATTGCAATATTATCGCTCGCTCATTGCAGTAAAACTACAGAAAATTGTACAATGATGTCCCGTTAGTTATAAAAAAACACACTTTTATAGCACACGCGCTAAAGTTGTAGCTACGGTAGTTGATATTTATCGGTAAAGTTTACTAATCTTTTTGTGTTATGTATTCTGTCCGCTTATTACCATATTCTTGACACTGCATAAAACAGTATAAATGGTAAATCACAAAAACATTCCGTTTTTTCAAATTGAACAATGCTTTTCCTCAATGTAATTTGTTTGTTTAGGTGTCCTGCAGCTGCTTTCTGAAAGTGCAGCATACTGTAGATTTTTTTCGTAGCCGTCTCCTGCAGGAAGCAAATGTAAATAAAAAAGCTATGGAATTGAATAACATTAATGCTATCACGTAATGAGATAGATTCTTCGTATGAATGGTGATATATACCAAGCTGTTATAAAATCATTGTTTTACGATTTATGTGTTTGCAGCTAGTTATTGACCTTGACAAAACTTTCTTATGTAAAACGAAAGAGATGTGCCCTTTATTTTGCTATATATGTGATTAGTTAGCTTGGAGTCTCATTAGGTGCTTTTACTCTTTCTTTCAGAGCTCATATTCAATGGGAAGTTTATTTATATTACATGAATTATATCCAAATCAAGTACGTATAGCGGAGCAAACCAGACGCGCATCTACTTGACCTTCCTACCTTTCTTTTTATTCTTCTTCCTTTCTTACTTCCTTGCAGAGATAAACACTGCACAATGCTCACGGTCACATGGCGCCACAAATATCTCACTTTCAGTACTGCAGCATTGCTAATAAGATGCAGCTGAGTGCGCAACAGCAAAAATAGGTGTTAAATGAAAGTACTTATCCTAAGTATTTGTTTAAATGCACATAAGCTTGGAGGATGCTTAGGCATTACGTTTGAGATTGCAATGTGAGGACGTAGACAGGCCCGTTCACACCGCTCTCTCACTCGTTTGTAGCACTTCATTTCTTTGTGAACATCCCAACCATGCCGAGAAAGAAAGAACACCTGTCCGTGTTACAGTGGTGGCTCCAAACACGATTTTTTTTCTATACCACACGATTCCTGGAGAATCTCCTAGGGTAAGTGTGCAGTCAAAATTTTAGGATGTACGATACGATCGAGGGATACTCGAAGTACAGCTGTGAAACTCCACTGTAATGTAGCATACGTAGACGTATGCTATGGCGGACCCTGTTGATTTTGTCACTGTCAATGGCAATGATGCCTTTTCTCGGATCCTTGCTATGTGTTGGCAGCTCCAAAGTGTCATTTTCTACGTGATTTTTCGTATTAACACCTGCCAGTGAATCTGCTTTCAAGACATGATGCCCTCATGGACTTTTTTTTGATGTAGCTTTAAAGCAGTAGCATAGTTCTTAGGTTGACTACTTGACTGCCCAAGAGAATACCTGAGTTAATCCGAGAGAGAGAGAGGGAAAGACTATTAGAAAAACAGATTTTTTTCCCGGCGTCTATATATCACTTGAATGCTAATCTTTGCAGGGTTGGGGACTAAAATATTTCAGCAGACAGGGAAAAATTATGAAAAAGAGCTGCTATCAAGTGAACGTGATAACACTATTTTCAATTAGGGCATCAGGTAGACCCTAATGCCCAAGTGTACTGATTGGCACTTTCAGTTGAATTGAATTTTGTCTTGAACTGCCTTTTTGTCAGGCAATTTCGCACCCCTACTAACGCCGCCAACATCGAAAAGGCATTTTAAAGACACAGGCGCCGTAGGACTATCGTGTTGAAAGTGCACTACTACAGAATACTTTGCTCTATAAGCTGTACATAGCGCTTGCCCGTGTGCTAGAAACTGATTTTTTGTGAGCAACTTTTGAATTTTAGAGACACTTATAGTGCTTTCATTATGAAATTAAAATGTAAAAAACACATCAACGTTGTTTTCTCCCTGATAAAAATGATTTTAAACTTAAAACAACACTCACTGTACAGTATTTAGACATTCGAGTAGCGTCGTACTTGTTGTCCGTAACAAGCTGAATTTTGCGTGGTTGCGTAAATTTGCTCCCTCTGGTCTCTGCTAAATACCACCGCAGCGTTATTTATAGGTTTCTATGGCCATCTGTCTTGTGCTATTCTAAAGAGGCTCTTGAGGACACGTCATCTCTGAAAAACGCCGTCATTCTTTTTGACATAGAGCAGCTTGGTTTGAAAGGCTACCATAAAATTTTCCAGAAGCTTGCTTTCAAGAACCGAATAAAAGTTTCAAGTCTGACTCTTAAGTTCTGCACAACAGGCTGCAAGCGTATAAAACAGCAAAGCCGAAATCTCCATCGTGAAGGGACTATGCGTGGCTCTGTTTCAACATACCTGAGATTACTCTGAAGGAACAATGAAGGCACTGCAATTGGTATTGCTTTTCAGCATTATGACGATTGTTATGTAAGTATCTCGTTCCCACCCATCCCTTTATCGCTAATTGTAATAAAGTGCCTAGAAAATTGGGTATTACAAGACGTTTTCAACGATAAAGAAATAGTATCAACTTGTTTGTTTCATGAACACGTCAAGATGTGTAGCTTGAACTATATGTCATCCAACGCTGACATTTGATAGAAAGCCTTTCTCAGATATTTTACACGAGATACGTAAAGAGTAGATTTTCCTCCTGTCTGAGGAATGCTGATCTACAAAATGACTGATATCTTGAAACCAATTCAGAAAGAAGTTCCCCACCAAAAAAAAATGACTGATTGCGATCGTATCAATGAAGTACACGAACGCCATTTTTGAGCAAATAAAAAAAATATGAGACGAATATAGTTATGTTATAGACGGCTGCTGGGGAAGTTTCAAGGAAATTTCAGACCTGATCTGCGTATTGATTTGTGGCGTTAACGTCCCAAAACCACCATATGACTATGAGAGACGCCGTAGTGGAGGGCTTCGGAAATTTTGACCACCTGGGGTTCTTTAACGTGCGCTCAAATCTGAGCACACGGGCCTACAACATTTCCGCCTCCATCGGAAATGCAGCCACCGCAGCCGGGAATTGAACCCGCGACCTGCGGGTCAGTAGCCGAGTACCTTAGCCACTAGACCACCACGGCGGGGCGCCCTGATCTGCGTAAGAAGTAGCATTCGTTTCCCAAATATGGCACCTGTGCCTCAATTTAAAGGCCCAATATAAAAGGAAATGTCTGTATTGCTGAATATCTGAACCCCATTGATGGAAATCGTGATGGTACATCTCATTGCCACATCTGACGGTCATCGCAAAAACTGTTCATTCCCCTGGCATGAAGAGGTCCGCTTAAATAAACCTAAATTTTTATGTCATACCATTTCTTATTACCTGGCTTAACATCGAATACTCAAAGGCAGCATCACAACACTTTGAGTGTGGTATCCCACCACCCTGTTTATTAAAAAGGAAACAACGCGTGTCAAAGGCTGTCCTCTTGCACGCGTTTTTTCTTCATCACTGAATCATGCATTAATAGCGGCAACTGTAATGCTTTCTTTCGTTCTCGATATTGCTAAATTACTTTACGCTGTTCTCCCGCAATTGTTCACTACTTACTTTTACGTAAGCTACAGTACAGGCGTCTCTTTCTCTCTCTCTCGGCGTCTCTCATAATCATACGGTGGTTTTGGGACGTTAAACCCCACATATCAGTCAATCAATCAATCAATCTTCTCTCTCTCTCACACACACACACATACACACACACACACACACACACACACACACACACACACACACACACACACACACACACCACACACACACACACATATATATATATATATATATAATATATATATATATATATATATATATATATATGTGACGCAGGAGGCGTGATGGCTGTTCGATGAACCATTTATTTGTCTTCGTCTTCTTCCTTCTCTACCAACCACCACTCCGTTCTCGTGTGGTTCGTCACACGCTTCCCCCTCCCCGAGAGAGACGTAGGTGCAGGGGCGGATGATATCGTTTAAGTCTCCCGACATGAACGATGTCAGTCTGGCGACCGAGTGGAGCCACGCTGCGGTCGATCTCGTAGTTAACTGATGAAATCTTGCGTATGATAGTATAGGGTCCTTCCATGATTGCGCTGAGTTTGCCGCGGCTCGGGTGCCAGAGTGTTTCATATAGAACAAAGTCTCCCACTTGAAGCTCTAATGGAAGGAACTTCTTGTCATATATGATCTTGTTTTTCTCGTGATATGCTACTGAATTGCGGACTGCGTTTGTACGAGCTTCCTGCAGATTTTCGGTAACGCCTGGAAGAAGATAGGGATACGATGGTGTGCCATACATAAGAAAGCAGGGTGGGTAGCCTGTGACTTCGTGAGGCGTTCTATTGTACTCGTCGACAACGTCCGAGAGGAGACGCGGCCACGATTTTCGGGGTTCATCGTTGATCTTGCATCGGAGGCGAGTAACGATCGTCTGATTAGTGCGCTCGTTTAGGCCATTACACTGCGGGCGCTGTGAGCTTGTTAAAAGCTGATGAATATTGTTGTGCTTGAGGAACTGCTTGAATTTGCCGGCAGTGAATCCTGTGCCGCTGTTGGAAAGGAACTTCCGCGGCTTTCCAGCAGCGAAGATACTCTTCAGGCAAGAGATGTATGCGTCGCAAGTCTCATTTTGTGTGCGAAAGCCCCGACATTACGGGTGGCATGATCAACGGCTAAGTGAATGAATCTTTTGGATGAGCCGTAGTTGCCGAAATCTCCGATAGTGTCCATGGCCAGAAGATCAAACGGTTGTTCCGCTGGTGGCAAAGACTCCAACGAACCAAATCGTTTGTTCTTCGGTCTCTTGCAGCGCTGGCAGGTATCGCAGTGGCGTATGTACTCGCTCACGTCGGTGATGATGTCGGGCCAATAGTACTGTAGAGAGAGAAGCCGCAGCGTCTTCTTTACCCGACATGACCGAAAGCGTCATGAGCTTTTGGAGAAAAGAAGACTGGAGGGCAAAAGGCACATAGACTTTTCGTATTCCCCAGCGTGTCACTATACTCAGTCCGTTCTCAATGGTATGCTTTCCGGGTGGTTTGTCGTTGTCATGCTCTCGCAGTTGCTCAGCAGATAGGAGGAGTTTAACTACCGGGCTTCGAGATAGTGCATCATCTTCAATGTTGTCAATGCCCTTTTGGTGTTTGATGTTCACGTCGTACATGGAGAGTTTCAAGAACCACCGGAAAAGTTGGCCTCGGGGATTCTTGATGCTTTTAAGCCATTGCAACGCTGCGTGATCTGTGATCACAGTGAAAGGTTTCCCGTGTAGATAGCAGTGCCATTTATCGATGGCGTCAATAATTGCCAAACATTCGAGTTCTGTGATGGCGTAATTAATTTCGTGTTTTAGTAACTTCCGTGAATGGTATGCGATTGGGTGCTCTCTACCTTCATCATCAGCCTGCTTCAAGACGGCGCCGATACCTCTGTTGGATGCATCGCAGTATAGCACACAAGGCTTAGTGGCATCGTAGATGTAAGGTTGGCTCTTCCGTCACGCATTTCTTGAGCTGAGTGAAAGCCAGTTCACACTCCGCATCCCAGTTCCAGGTGACGTCTTTACTGAGCAGGCGCGTCAGTGGTGAGCGATTTGACTGAAGTGATCGATGTAGTCGGTCGGTAAACATTGACAGTGCCGAGAAAAACGCGGCAACTCTTTAGGGCGTGATGGTGTCGGAAACCTAAGGATTGCGTCCACGTTGCTTTGCTTTGGAGTGACGGGGCCATGCGAAACCTTGTGTCCCAGGTACTCAATGGAGGTTCGAGCGAATTGACATTTCTTAACTTAGCTTGACGCCTTCGCTTTTGAAAGCTTTCAAAACGCCTCTAGATGCCTCAGATGGTCTGGAAACGGTCAGAGTAGACAACAATGTCATCGAAGTAATTCATGACGTTCTGCAAACGGTGTTTTGCCATACGAATTGACAGCCCGTTCGAAGGTGGCCGGAGCATTCCGAAGCCAAAAGGCATGACGAGCCACTCGTATGACCGGTACGTGTGACAAACGCCGTTTTCGGAATGTCATCAGGGTGAATCTTCACGTGCCAGTAACCTGACGTTATGTATAATGTCGAGAAGTACGTAGATTTCCCCAGAAAATCGAGAACGTCAGTCGATGCGAGGAATGGGCTGATAATCAGGCACCGTCATTCGTTCAGCTTGCGGTAGTCGATGCAGAAGCGCGTGCGTCCCTTCCCCTTTTTTCTCGCCAGAAGTGCTGGCGCGCGTATGGGGAGGTAGATAGGTTATGACACCTTGCTTGAGAAGCTCGTTGATCTGTCTGTCCATTTCAACGCTGTCCGTTTCTGAGCATCGATAGGGAGCGCTAACAATGTGAACATTGTTGATGAGATGAATGCGATGCATTTCGCCAGTGATGCACCCAATGTCTGTCTGTGACTTGGAAAAAATGTCATCGTACTTGTGGATAAGCTGCTTCAATGCCAATTGTTGCGTTTTATTAGATGTAGTACATCACAAACTTCACACCTTGCAAAGACGCGCCCTTGTTAACATGGTTTGGTTCTGTGTACGAGAATGGAGGATGTCTTTCCCTTGGCGTAGAGTCATAGTGTCAAGGTCCAGCGACAAGTCAAAGATGCAAGCACTATCCAAGCCAAGAAGTAAGTTGCTCTTCATGCCTTGTAGAGCATGAGCCTGAATTTCTCTTGTCACTTTTCCTATCTGTACCTTTAGATTAACGCGACCCAAAGTTTTGGTAGATGATGTGACTTGTTGAACTGAGATGCATGAATTCCTCATTATTCGCAGGTGAAGTGCCTTCAGCACTGCTTCGTTGATACAGGTAATCGTAGCTACGGTATCAAGTGTAGCGCTGACAGGGTACCCGTTAATGAGGGCATCAAACTGAATTACATGAACTCTGGGTCGCCCTCCTCGTTTCCCTGGTTGGTGGAGAGGGCGGAAATGCTTGCGCGTCGTGGACATTCATTATGCCAGTGCATCTGTCGGGGTAAGCCATCCATCGCGCAGTGTTTGCACTCACGCACGGGTGTTTGTACTGGGTAATTACGTGGACGCTGACTAGTTCTGTCACTTGTTACATTAATCTGTGTATTTCGAGCTGGTGGAAAGCAATGCAACTTCATTCTCTGCATGGTGACTCTACACGAAGTGCAGCTGTAAGCCATGCCTCTGGTGTAGACGAGGTAAGCCCAGCAAGCGCCATCTCCATATGCGCAGGAAGGCCGTCGATGAGCCCTGATATAAGGTGCGTGTCCTTTAAGTCGGCGAGGCGTCCGAGAGACATTTTTTCATTATAGTATTCCTGCAAGCTCTGGCCTGTTCGCAACCGGCAATGAATGAATTGGCGAAAAGGATCCGCGACGCCGCTCGTAAAGCGTCCCTTCATGCATTCACATAAGCTCTCCCAAGACGCGTCTGTGTCTAAAACCTCGGTGAGAAACCATCGGAAAGCCTCACCTTCAAGGTAATCGGAGAAGTAGCACAGCTTGTCTCGCTCCGTCCATGCTGCGGCCGCAGTCCTCACCTCAAAGAGTCGGAGCCACTTGTCAAAGGGAACGTCCGTAGATGCTCCCGAGTACTTCGGGATGTTGATGACTTTCTTGGATGTGGCCATGATGAAGGCCACGGTAGATCCTGTCGACTAGAGTGACGCAGGAGGCGTGATGGCTGTTCGATGAACCATTTATTTGTCTTCGTCTTCTTCCTTCTCTACCATTCCACCACACCGTTCTCGTGTGGTTCTTCACATATATATATATATATATATTATATATTAATTATATATATATTATATATATTATATATATATATTATATATTGAATAAGCATTCAAGAAACACCGAGGCAAATGTTTTAAACGAATTGTGATAGCCGCTCACAAGCTCAACGACCATGCTTTTGTGCTTTTACAATAAATAGGGAGTTGCATATGTTGAGCTGATCGACATATGAAGGGCTGCAGCGATCATCATGTTAACCTTCGTGTTACCTAAATTAAGATATTCAGGAGCATCTCTCACGGCACTCTGTGCTCTGATTTGCCTTTGAGGTTCCTGTTTGTTACGTGGCGTTTACATATGTATCTCTGTTTTCTGTCAATATTGTTGCGACTGTGTGTCATAAATAATGTTAGTTCTACCTGCAGCTTACATAAGACTATTTTTTTGCAAAAAATCTATATTTTTTTTCATATCATCAAATTTTTACCAACTCAACCTAATTCATTGATATGTGGAGTTTAACGTCCCCAAACCACCATATGATTATGAGAGACGCCGTAGTGGAGAGCTCCGGAAATTGTGACCACCTGGGGTTCTTTAACGTGCACCCAAATCTGAGCACACGGGCCTACAACATTTCCGCCGCCATCAAAAATGCAGCCGCCGCAGCCGGGATTCCATCCCGCGACCTGCGGGTCAGCAGCCGAGTACCTTAGCTACTAGACCACCGCAGCGGGGCAACTCAACCTATTTGCTCTCGTAGAATAGCTCCCATAGATTTCAGCACAGCAGTAACAATTCTTTCGCAAAGTTGAAGCGTTTCATATAATGCTTTGCAAAGCATTTGAGTATTAAATCATGTGGTGTGTCGAGATATTATACAGAAAAACTGCATGCATAAGAAAATTGTGACCTTTCGGTGATATTTTGTGGCACGTATATATTTCAGTGCAACCATGGAAAGTTGATCACACAAGATTAGGCTTGCTGATTTTATTCGACTATGTTTCTGCTATCTATGGTTTCATTTGCAAAAAATAGGCATTTTACAAATGACTGTCACTCTATCTAAGCACACAATAATCTGGAGAAGTACACAAATAACTCCAGATTTTCATTAAAAAAGATCTGCAAGGAATATTGCCATGCGGAGTATTTGAAAGATCACTTATTTGAAGCACCAATTTAAAACATATATTTCGTACCTGGATTCCAAGCACCGTCACAGAAGCTGCGACAGACCCATGGATTACGATATAAGTTTCCTTATGGAATTCAACAAACTATCCTGTAATAATTAGTTGTGATCTTGCAAGCTTACCTTGCTTAATAAACTTGGACACTTTATGCGTTATTTTACGCAGGGGCTCCATCTGGGACCACAAGAAGTGCCTTTCATTTGTAAGTGCCTTCTATGGCTATGTAGAAAAATATCATAATGGCATATGCTTATATACCATTTGACAAATAGGCAATTTCCCAAACTTACTATATCACTAGCAAGAGCTGTCAATAATTTGCATGGCTAAGTAAAGGAATATTTTACAAATTTGGGGCATCTGCACTGTCGTGCAATGTGGTTCCACACATAAGGAGTGTGGGCGTGCCTTCTCGTTTTACCGAGATTCCACTTTCGTGAGTCATGTAAATCTATCACGATCGAAATAAACTGCCGTTCGATGCAGGGTACCAGCAAAATTATGCTTTAAATTCTGAAGTTCCGTACACTCTGGAAAGATACCGATCTGCATAATATAGAGGATAAGTTGTTTTGTGCTACTAGCTATAGCATTCGTATAGACTATGTGCCTTTGCAATACCGGCATAATCCTCCCTTCGGCACCAAAGGTACCAAGGAGGCCTTTTGTACTGCAGTTTTGTCTTTCTCACATAATAACAGCAGCATTACCACAGAGCTTTTATGCGAACGTGATAAAGATCACCGGCTTATCTTTTTCGCATTAGAGTAAACTGAGTTGTCGACAGAGCATCCAATAGTTTTTTAATTACGCGGAAATCATCACGCTTAGTGTCTAAGCGCTGTTCAGGAAGAACAGCTAGCTTCGTTCTTGGGTCCGCGGAAGGGCACCTCATGTCATGAACTTATAATTGCCACTATTTCTTTAACTTACTGCCAAACGCAGTGTGTGCTGAAAAGACATACGAATAAATCCGAAATATCTCACAATGGGTGAAAATCATGGGCCGGCATGTAGAATCAGCTGTTTGTGGCCCCCCTGTCGTTCGTGCACAATCAGTCAGTCTTTTTTTTAACAAATATTGTGATTGACGTGTTCTTGTTCGTTTCTACTGATTCAATCATCTTGTTTCCTCAAAGGTTCCGTGATATTTTAGTCTGTGTTTGCTACAGGCTTTTTTTCGCTGGCTTGTGCTTATACGCCTGTAAGCAAAGAGAGAGAGAGAGAGAGAGAAAACAACAGCGGCGGCCATGTTTTCAGAGGAAGCGAAAATGCTTGACGCCTGTGTGCTTAGACTAAGGAGCACGTTAAAACGCCAGATGGTTGAAATTTTTGAAGCCTTCCGAAACGGCGTCTCTAATAAGCTTATAGTGGTCTCAGGACGTTAGAACCTCAACAATTAAAACAAAAAACACAAAACAGCGATTGGTAAGATTATGCGACAGTCAACACAGTAATGGTAAGCCATCATTTGAGTGGTAACTTCTGCAGTAAAGCACTATGCAGACGCGTGTAGATTGAATTGGTGCCGCGGTGTCAACCTCACGATCCGCTAGGCAAGTGTTTGTGCTCAACAACAACGTTAAATCATAAAATAAGAAGCAGAGGGGGCTGCTTCATCTGCATCGATGATATCAGTGCTACCATTTTTGTTTTCTAAGGTTTGCCTATACTATCTCTAGCCCTACTTTACGTACTTAGAAAGGGAATACCCACTTTGTCAGCCCACAACATGCACATTGGCTTGCATTCACTGACACGACAAAAAAAAATAAGTTTTCCAGTGCGTATTCCTTAGCACGCTGAATTTAATTCAAATACATAAAGGGCTGCATTTACAAAAAAAAAATGTTTGCACAAGTATCATAGGGCACCATGAGCGCGTTGCTTTTTACTAATGGTAGATCCATATATAGTACGCATAGTATTTACTTTCTTGTGGCTTAAATTATACGGCTTTGATTTGCTTTTTTAATCCAGTTATAGTGACCGGTATTGGCCCAACTTGACAGGGCACTTGGACCGAAATCTTGCTGTAAATAGTTTTGTATCGTGATCAATTTGTTGGCGCTCATTGAGCCACACATTAATTAGAAGTTTTCAGTAATATTTTGCACTAGGTTCCGCGTGCTCTGAATTTAGACACACATAAAATAAGGTCCTGCAAATCTCGCTCTGCAGCGGCTGCCCTCATTTAACATGAGGGTGGTCTTCGTGAAAAAAACACACGTCATCTCTTTCTCATTTTTGTTAAAACATATGATGAAATACATAAATAAATCGTGAATAATAAGTGTGGAATAAATAAAAAATATGACGCATGGCTATTGGCTCAACTGTAGTGCATCTTGCTTGCCACAGCTGCTATTTAAGATAAAAACAAGGTGGAGGAGCTTGCACGTGTCGCGAGAAACCCGGAAAGTGAAGCTGGTCGATCAAGTGGCGTTCTTTTATTGGTCCTAGATTAGAGCTTGGCAGATGCTAGGTTTGAACTTCAATGGTCCTATATTGATGCTCGGCTCGAACTTGGCAATTGCTGTTGCTAGGGTCAAACTTGGCTTGGACCAACACAGGTTGGGGTGAAGTACGAGCTCTGTTTAAAATAAGCTTTCCTTCAATGGTTACGATGACCGTCAGATCAAACAGCTCCATTGTTTCAAGTATTTCACGGCCAGAGAAGGCTTCTTTATTTTATAAACGGTTGCTAGGTGAAACCGACATTAAGAACGTTGTGATCTTCACAGAGCTGCTGCGCGCTGCATGCGCGGCTTCACTTGATGCTACCGCAGCAGTGATGTTCCGTACGACGTAGAAGAATTGCCATTCAGGGGCATGAAAATTCCCTATTTTGGGCAATGTTTCATGCAAACGTTCAGAAAATTTCCAGCCGAAATCCCAGCCCCACAGTACTGATTTCCACCCCATCCATGCACACACATATAATAATTACAAGTGACTCACGCACTTGCAACTTTAGAAACCATGGCTAGCCTGTCCACTGCCGCAGAACAAAAGCATAACCTAATGAATCCTATACTGTCAGAACACTCCACATTGGGGGCTTCAAGTCTAACACCACTTATAGTGAACTAGAAATCGCTCCGCGTAAATACCGGAAACGAATCTCAAAGGCTGTGCGTACGTAGTGCATGCGCCAGAACCGATTAGAGCTGACGAAGGCCCACCGTGACTGCTAATTATCGGTCGTTGTAGGAGAATATAATCATTCCTCAAATTGCCGGCAATATCACAAAGATTCCCTTTCCCACATTGGCTTAAAATTACAGGCAAGAATTCTTCGAAAAAGGGAAAGTTTCCCGCACGGAATATCACTGCCCCTCAGCGGCCGCGGTAAACAGGCCAGGCGCCGCTGCTCCTCTGTCAACTTGGCGGCGGAGGGGCTTCGGCGCATGCGCGACTTGGTGTGGCGTCACTGTAGCGAGGCCCGACGAGGTCGTGTGGGGTACAGCTGTGGCGAATGCTATCGCCGTGGTTTTCTCCGGCGGATAGCTGTCTTCACTGTTCGGCTAATAGCTTCCCCAATAAACCCAACGCATATTACAAGAAAATACGAGGCGTCCTGCAACTAGACTTGCCAAAACAAAACGTTTTTCCTTTCTCTCTCAGTGCCGACCCAGAAGTGACAACGCTACCAACTGCGGCACTGGTTGCAAGTGCCATCCTTTCCGCTATATGCCGATGATTGGGAGGCTTGCCTTGACGTCACTCTTCCGTTCCCTGGATGTTTCGTCCGATGCGAAGGATCTTAGGAAAATTAGCTACAACGGTTAAAGAAAACAAAAGGGTACATAAACAGCTAATGCTATTACAATACCAGTGTGTCTTCTATTACTTTTCTAGATGAAGTGCGCCTGTGGAGCCCCGTCTTTCTAGTGGGGTGGGCTGACCTTTCTCACAAGAGCTTGCGATTTCTGGCAACCACAGCTAAGTGATATCGGGTTAACCATGGCAGCTTCTCATTACATTATGTCGAAAATGGCATGGAGATAGAGTTTATAAACTTGTTGCTAAGCTAATTTAGACGTTTTTTTTCCTGCACAAAACCTTGCCATCAGTGTAATATGGGCTTATAGCAGCTGGCCTCTTCTTTCCTCCTAGGCCTAGCTACTGTGAACTCTACCTACATTCAACAAGATCTCGCAATATCAATGCAGCGAAAAAGCTTTTTTATATTGACCAAAATGCCGATAGTTGTGGGCAAGATTTCATTTTGTCTCCATGACATTAGGTAACTCCTCACCCTACGGAACCTTTGAACTGCGCAAGAGCAGAGAGGATGCTTGGCCTTGTTTGTGAGGTAGCTTTGCTGGTGAAAAGTGCAACAGTAAAAAAAGCACACAGACGCGACCAAACATTGACGTACAACTGATTATTTTTTGACACAAGTGAACAGAAAGGAAATGTGTGTGCGTGTGTGTGTGTGTGTGTGTGTGTCTGAAGATGAAGGTCAGGAGGTTAACCATATATGAGCATCCGGTTCGCTATCTAGCACTGGGAGTGGGCAATAGGGAACAATATAAAAACCTACGAGGTAAAATCAAATGAGAACGATCTAAATAATGAAACTTAAACACCCTAAAAACCTATTACCGAAAGAAGGATCAGAATCTCAGTACACCCATGCGGCCCTGAAGCAACGTGTTATTTGCTACGTCTTTTCCTAATAATGCAACAGGCAGTGATAGCGACGATTCTTACACGAGTGCAGCTTGGCCTGCCATGATGGTTAACTCGCTGACAGTTAACTCGCCATTCATCTCAGGAGTCTCGCAGTGAAAAGCCACGGCCGTATGATACCTAGGATTCAATTGTGGGGCACACAAAATAGCCATGAGAAGTATTTCTTTCTTAACTTGAGCGTATATCTGTGGCGTCTTTATCAGAGAACGGGATGAGTAAGCCGACGGGTGCCATTTCCAATAATCACGGCAACAGTTAAATATTGGCTGGCAGCAAATAGAGGTGATTGTTGTTTTTTTTCTTATTCTGGTTGTACACTAATACGGGAGCCTTTGCAATTGCTTCACGCAAGGCCTCGAAGCTGGCGTGATGTCTGTCTTCCCAAATCCAACCAGCACTTTTCCAGAAGAGGTCCTGAAGCGAAGCTGTGGGTGTGGTGCATCAAAGAAGAACGCTTAAGGTGGTGCCTAGACCCGCCGCGGTGCTCTACTGGCTAAGGCACTGAGCTGCTGACCCGCAGGTCACGGGATCGATACCGGCCATGGCGGTGGTATTTTCGATGGAGACGAAAATCCTCAATGTCCGCGTGCTTAAATTTAAGAGCGCGTTAAAGAACTCCAGGTGGTCGAAATTTTGAGAGCCCTTCACTACGACGTCTCTTATATTCGTATGGGGGTTTTAGGCTGTTAGACTCCATTAGTGTTTATGAGGTAGTGGTTAGATATATGACAGAAGGGTGGGCTCTCAGCCGGCTAAGCACGCATGCATCATTGTGCACTACGTCACACCCACATGCCAATGGCACGAACGTCAAAATAGAGAAAAACTTCCAAGCATTTCCCCGAGGAAGAACATGGTTAAGTTCGAATGCACGGGGTTATGCTATGAGGGGGAGTAAAGTTAAAATCCGTTGGCATTCGCCTTCGCCAGTGAATTAACGTAAACTCCCCCGTGGGATCACATTGCGATTGCCAGGAACCGTTAGACCCTCTCGGGAAATCTTGGTGAGTTTACGCGTATATGTGAGAGTGAATTCGCCCTATAATGATGTTTATGTCCTCAGCCCGCTTCACCCTCTTGCGCTTGGCATCACGGGCCCTTCGTCGCGCTGCCTTGTCTTCAACTGGTGCGACATTTTCAACGACGTGTGCTATGCTCACATTCGATTGCGTTGCACTCGTTGTTGAATGTATCACAGTCGAGGTTGATGCCTGTGATGGATCCATACCTATGACGACTTGCCGATCTCGAGCAAGTCGTGGCTGCGCGGGCGGAACGCGCGCAATCACGTGGTGTGTGACGTCGCTGCGTCATTGCTACAGACGCCCCTCTCCACTCCTCGCGCCGTTGCTAGGGGAGAGGAAGAGGCACACCGCAGACGGAGGAGTAAGGCTCGCTTATAAAGTGCATTCGCACTTAAAATATCTAAGTGGCTCAGCGCGCCCGGCGAACGATTGATTGATATGTGGGGTTTAACGTTCCAAAACCACTCATGATTATGAGAGTCGTTGTAGTGGAGGGCTCCGGAAGTTTCGACCACCTGGGTTCTTTAACGTGCACCCATATCTGCCCGGAGAACGAGTGGAGATGGACTACCAACGGAAAAACTCGACTTTAAATGTAATTCGCATCGCTCCGCGGCCCGTTAGACGCTGCACTGAACACGCACACCAACGATCAAACGCAACTAACAATTTCGTGCACAACAGAGAATGCAAGCAGGCGCAGAGTACTGTACGAGGCGGGGCATCTTCGGAGACGAATTTTGCGAGCTGCCCTTGTCATGAATACTCATGAAATGCAAGGGTTGCACCGAGTAATAATAGCGTGGGCCGATGGCGCCAAAAAAAAAAGATTTTCTCAATTACAAACACCGTCAGAACTTCTTTGATTGTTACACGTAGATAATATTGTTGGGGAAAAGAAAATCTTCATTCGTAAAATCTATTCTCCGACTTCGAATCAAGCTTTGTTTTGTTTTTTTTTACTATTAGTGTTTGTTCGCCTCCACACATAGTTTGCGCTGGCAGTCGCAGCTTTCCATAATCCCCCACGCTGATGTCGATGGCAATACCTTCTGAACCACTTTTCACCTGAGCCTTCGAGACCTATTTAATAGACCCTGGATGAACACTGAAACATTGCTACACTGCTATATACATCAAGTGACTTCATTGCATGGCACTTAACTACAGTTGACGTTAACGGGACGTTACGGCTGTATTACAGGAGTACATGTGTAATGTTTACAAAACTGGATAGAGTCGCACTGCCGCCTCAGTACGTCGGGGACTCGCGAGAAGCTCATCCGCGATACTTTTGGCCACACAAGGAGTGTCGGCGTAGCGGAGTTCTAGACTACGAGGTTATACACAACTATCGATGGTGCCATTCGCCCAGAACTCGTCCACCCCGTGCACTTTGAGTCGTTTTACGCCCGGTTAGCAAGCCTTAGGATCTTACTTTTTGCAGTGTTAGAGTACTTTCTTATTTTACTTGCTGTCTCTTGCACTTTTCTTGCTTGATTATTGTAGTTTAGTCCTCCGTTAAATGCCGTTAACCTCACCGATTTCAAAGTGCAAGACAGTAGTTTTTTTTTATCGCATTCACTACCCTTTCTAAGAGGGCTATGTCGTAATCGCCATTGATTTCTTCATAAATCACGTGGATTGTTTGCACTGAGCGTGGTGCCAGTCAGGCTGTGGACACTTCTTGTCTACGCATCTGCTATTTCCACTTGCGTACTTGCAAACTTGAAAATTGAAGTGAAATCACATCATCGTGCATGATAGTATTGCCGTGGCAAAACGAATAGCATGTGAATGCATGGCAAAGCACGGTAATTGATGATTTGTGGAGTTTAACGTCCCAAAACCACAATATGATTATGAGAGACACCGCAGTGGAGGGCTCCGAAAAATTTTGACCACCTGGGGTTCTTTAACGTGCACCCAAATCTGAGTACACGGGCCTACAACATTTCCGCCTCCATCGGAAATGCAGCCGCCACAGCCGGGATTTGATCCTGCGACCTGCGGGTCAGCAGCCGAGTACCTTAGCCACTAGACCACTATGGCGGGGCAGGCAAAGCATGGTAGAGACAGTTACAACAGATGTTTCTTGCATAAGGACCATTTGAGAGCCCAATTCTGCCTAACATCACGTGAACAACTTGCTGGCGTCACGAATTGTTACATAAAGGCACGTAATGCCGGGAAATATTATTCAATGCCACCCCCCAAAAAATATTTTCCAGCCTTTTAACTGCCACCGGGACGTCACTCGTTTTGGTCGAGCCAGCGGGTGAACGCGAGGCGGTGAATAAATTGCCACTATAGTCTCCCGTTAAAAAAATATAGCATTTGCGGCAAGTTTTGCTTGCTTAAGATCTTATTATGCCTTTCGCACCATGAGAGGCGCTGGTTTAAGTATTGTATTGTGCTTGAAAGTGCTTGGAGATTCACCTGTAAGGTATTTTCTGAACGAAAAAGTGAAAGATTTGTGCGCTATCAGACGTGTGGTCGATCTGTAGGAGCACAAATTGATTCACCATCAGAGGTACAATTAAAGAGGTAATTTTTATTAACTTATACGCACGCGCACACACACACACATTATCTAGAACACGCATAAAACAGTTCACATACTCATTTGAAAAAGTTTTGTGCACTTTTATTTTTACTCTAACCGATCATGTGTCTTCATAGACACGCAGTTTAAGAGGAGAGTGTGCGCTGCCGCCAAAGGTGCGTTATTTAGCGCAATGCTAGGGTAATGATCATTGCAAGATAAACCTAAATCTTTCGCTTCACAAAAATCTCTTGTGACCGACGCAAGCAGTGGCGTTCCTTCTTTTGCTCTGGCCCCTCTCGTAGTGGTGCGTAATAGCGCATATAACTAGGGCCTGGAAAAAATGTATAGAATACTGGCTTCTAAATTAAACTGTTTAGCCCCGTGAGCACTTCTTATTTCCTCTGTAGTGCCGGTGTCTTGGATAG